CATTGTGACCTGGAAACCAGGCTAGTGCACTGCCTGGACGTACCCTGCAGAGCAAGCCCCCTGCCTCTTGAAGTCTCATCTGCAAGCTGCCTTTTAAAGAGACAAGTCTGGGGAGAAGCTCTTCAAATAACTTGTTCTAAACATGCAGAATGAGCACTTTCTGCCTTTTTTGCAGAACTGCAGAAGAGTCAGGTCTCTCACACACTCTGTCCCCTCCCATTTAGGCTACCCCTCACGTCAGCACTTCTATAGCTCCACTCCCACTCTAGCCTGGCTAAACTGCTTCAGTACCAATAAACAAAAACCAACCAAAACCCAGCCACTTAGAAATCCATTTTAGATTTGTTTGCATTACTTTAGAGGGTTTTTTATGTGCTGGGATGAAAGAAGCCCATTAAGTACATCTATATTTACTTCATTACTGTGTGGCTCTTGAAGTTAGATGAAAAGATTTACTCTGGCCAAGTTTGTTTATTCATCAACATCAGCTTAGATATGTTTTCAAAGGCTCATCCTCATCGTATTTACATGAAAGCACACACCTTTTTTCAAGGGTTTTATCACATTCTGAGAGCTGGAAAAGGACAAAAGAAACTTCTGTGAGAATTATGAAATCAAGGATCAGCAGAGAAACAATTCCAATAAATCCCAGTTATTTACGGGAGTGGAAACCACCCTTTCCTACCTGGAGTCATTCTTTCTCACACTGCACCTGTATCAACAGCCACAAACTGTAAGTGAATGACGAATCACCATGCCCCCTACAGCCACTGGTACGCTGCTTTAGGCAGGAATGCCTGAAGAGTTAACCCAACCTGAAGCAGAAGAGTTTAAGCAAATGTAGTCTCTGAAATTTCTGTGGGTTGGTGTTTTTTTTTTATACCTGCACTTAAACAAGAACCATCAGATTTTTTTCATAGGCGGTGGTAAAGAAGAACTCTTTGCTGCTGGTAGCGAAGCATTACGTAAAAATATAGCCCACCACCAACCAACCACAGCAGTACAAGTCCTAGTGAACTCTGACAGGAACCCAAACATGACTTGGTAATTGCATGCTTTTAATATCAAATTTTTATCCTCAAGTTATGTAAATATTTAAATTACATTTATGGACACTATCTTTCCTTGTGAGTTTACACTTTCCCACAGAAGACTTCCAGAGTTATTAACAATCCTGATCTTTATCCTTCACACTGACTATTCATTCATCCTTTCTAAACTAATCCTGCTTACATATGACCCAAGAGGGCTGTAACAAGGCAGTGTTTATCTGCCCTAATAATCTACCACCACTGCTTTAATTACAACTTGGTTATATCACATCCAGGAAGCAAGGGAATGCCTCTCATCACTCATCATCTTCACCTGACAGCTGTGCTTGGTGTACCTTTGGAGGAGCAACCTTTGGAGGTTGCAAAACCTTTGTTTTCTGGGAGGTGAAGGGCCAGGGGGAAGACGAACTGGATGCAGCACACATACCCATGAGACACCTACAGAGGAGTCATGGAATGGCACAGCAATTCAGAGCATGAGGGATACCAGGATGGAGATGGGGGAACAGCAACTAAGGACATATTCATTCCTTTCAGTTAAGTTCGCAGGCAGACCAGCAGGCTTCAACTTCCTCACCTGGATTTTACAGGGCCTCCAAGAGCCTACATGAGTGCACAGTAGTTTCAAGTCTAGAGTTTTTTACTAGCAGTAGTATATGCAAGAGTGTGCCCTGCTCACCCTTTCCATGTTTCAACCAACGTAAGCAGCATCTGATCATACAGACATTTATAAATGCACCATTTTCCTACAAAAGAAGCCATCCTGAACTTCTTTCCCCACCAGAACAAAAGCTTTTTGGCATCGTTACACACAGTATAAGACCTGCAACCTTGGGATGCAGAGATGGGCTGCAAGCAGCCAGGCAGCTTGTCTGCAAGCTACAGGCTGTACAACCAGGACCCCATCCAACGCACCTTCCCTGCTAGCTCCAGGCAGGGCTTGGGCCAGCAGCTGCCACTCATTCAGCATACACTCAAACTTGGGAAGGGGCTCTCAGTCCCACTCTGGAAACCTGCAGGTGAGGGCAGGACTCCTGCCCTCCCACCACCATCCTAGGCTGAGCTACCTAGTACCCCGCACTCAAAATCTGGTCCTTTCTCGACACCTAGAAGCAGAGGCATCACTACAGCAGCCTAGGTAATTGTATTTGAATGATTCATTGTTTCAATCAAGTGTTAAATAATGTTTTCAAGCCTTTCTGGTCTATTAATCTTATTCTTATGTTTTGCAGTTACAAATGAAATAGTGTTGGAACCACTTTGTAAAAACCCCTCCATTCTCCATCCCTGTCCTTAATGGACAGAAAAAGACCATCCTCTGTTCCAGCTATTGAACTCTACAGCACTTTACCACGGGCATCAATGAGCTGATAAACAAATTTAACTCCTTTGTGTGTCATGAAGTCCACAAAGCCCCAGGAAAGAGTGCTCCTTAACTAAATGCCACAGCATAGCCGGTAAGAAGAACTCAGCTGCATTTCTGGTGGATTGGTCAGAACAGTGCTTCTTAAAATATAAATTAGCTCTAGATTTTCTTGCTAGGACTTGAAATCCAGTTGCCACTTTCTGATCAATATAACTTTAACAGTAGAATAAATTTAAAGCTTAAGTTATCTAGTAGCAGTAATCTGTATACAATACATGATCTAAAGCCACATACATGTTCAAATGCCTGGCAATAAGCCTTACCAGGAGCACCGTGCCTTAAAATGCAATGGATTACCTATTTCTTCTCCTCATTAAATGACATTTCATAAAAGGACCAGAACAAAAGATAGGTGAACTTGCTCAGTGTCATACCCCACAACCTTTACTCATCTGAGCAATGTGTTGCCTTCAGATCAGCTTCTCATTCGAAAGTTGCAGATCCCCATTGCTGACCTGAATACTGATTTTATGTTAATAAAATCCTGTATTGAGACACCGGTTAAAGATAAAATTGCTCCTGTACTTCAGGCCTGCAAGATATTGTCCATACTGTACTCGCTGTTTCCTCTTCCCCTGAGGGCAGGAGACACCCGTTACAGGAGATGCTTCACAGGCCACAGAATTTGGCCCTTGTTGAATAAGTTAACACCTGAATTAATCACTTATCCAGTAAGGAGAGGCACTTTTGCTATGATGAAGCTGCACACCTCACATATAGGTATATTTATCAGGGCAAAATTGTTAAAGATGTAAAATAAGAAACCCTGAAATTTGACGTTTCTGCTACTGTATGGTCTAAGAGAAGCAAATACAATGAAAATGTACTTCCATTTACTTACTGGGTATCTTTAGCAGAGCTCATTTCTGCAGATGCTCTTAACAGACACTGCTCCAATCATTTAACTGCAACACAGACAGACTTTGAGAGGACTGAGGAGGATTTGCTTCTGGTTTCACAAGGCACACTTACATTTTTGACATACAATTTAATAAAATAAGAACGCTGGATAAAAGTCAATCGAGCATGACTGCTAGGAAGGCGAGGAAATACTTTCTGCCAGAATCTTAGCTTTGCTCTTTCTCACTCTTTTTCTGCATTTATTACTTAATGGCTCAGTATTATTTCAAAGGCATTGTTTCCTTTTACAAATGTAATCAACTCAAGTATTCAGCACCACAGATGATGTATTACTCTCCTTAAACCCAAATCTCTGAGAGACAGATTAGAAAGAAAGGTTAAAGAGCTCTATCGTTCAAAGCATTATAGTTCAGACACCTATAAATCACTATGTTTGTTTATGTAGATAATAGGCTCCATTAGCGTACGTAACATCTCAAGCTACACAACTTTCTTGGGATGACCGTTTGCCAGCTTTCTTCCTTTCCCATCCTAGAAGCACTAAGGGAAGCAAATGCTCCAAACCGAGCAGCACACACGGCAAATGGGGTGTCCGGACTCATTTGTGAGCTTTGAAAAGCAGCCTCTTGCTCTCCTCTGGTGATCCCTTCCTCTTAGAAGAGTTTCCAAGACCAAGAGCAGATGCCACTGACAAACTGGAGTCTGTCACCATGCAATAGCATGTGAATGAAAACGCGGGGCTCGCCCACGGGGGAATCCTACCGCCGGGGGATGCTTCACACGACCCTGCCCCGCACCTATGACCGTGCCGAATTACTCTCCCAGTCACCACATAACGCGCAGCACGGAACGCGGCCAGACAGAACAGCCTCGCAGCCCTGCGGCGGTTCCTCCACCGCCCTCCCGCAGCCGCGCAGCGACCCGCGCCCGCAGCGACAGCACCCCGCAATACGCACACATTTCTCCCTCCACCCCCCAAAACACAGGCACAGCAACTTCTCGCACCGCCCCCAACTCACCGACAGGCGCCAGCCCCGCGGAGGGGCGCCCCCGAGGATGCCGCCTCCCGCGGAGCGCGGCCCGGGGAGTGCAGCCCGCAGGGGCCGGGCACCGGCGCGGGGAGGGAAGGAGGGGATGGAGGAAGGGAGGAGCAGCAGCAAGTTGCAGCGCGTCTCTTCTTCCCTCCTCTTCTCCTCTGTTCTGCTCTGCTCTGCTCTGTTCTGTTCTGATCTGTTCTGTTCTGCTCTGCTCTCCTCTCCTCTCCTCTCCCCTCCCCTCCCTCACTCCCTCCTCCTCCTCCTCCTCCCCACCGCGATCCCTCCCCTCCTCCGCCCGGCAGGAGGGTCAGAGGGAAGCGGCGGAGCTGGGTTGGGCGGCGCGCGGCCGCGGAGCGCTGCGCGGACAGGCGCGCAGCATTGCGCATGTCCCCGTGCGCGGCACCGAGAGGTGAATGATGCGGCAGCGCGGGCAGCCTGGGCCTGCCAGCCCCTGCGCACCGCAGCGCGCCTCTGCGGAGGCTGCGCGGGCAGTGCTGGCACCGCATCCCCTCGCTCCGCGGCTGCAGCGGCTCCGTGAGGCCACCGCCCTCCGGGATAGCACACGGGCGGCCCCGCTGCTCGGCCGAGGGTGCTTCGGGGAGCAGCGTGGGGAGGAGGATGCCCATGGATCCAAGCGTCCTGTTTTATGTTCCCCCTTTAAGCGACCGTGACTAATGAAGACAGGTATTACGACAAAAGGGACCTCCGCATAGTTATTGGTGGGATTTTAATGTTGTACCGAGGTCTTTAAGTGAAAGAAGTAGTCATAGTTTACATGGTGTAGGGAAGCGCAAAGGCTTCGCATGAAAAGCACTGTAGGAGCAAAGGCAGGAAAGGCTGCAAAGGTGAAATGCCTAAATTCGATCTCTGGGGATTATTTAGGGAAATTGCACAGTTACTGTAAGTTTCCACCCAGATGTAAGTAAGGATTGACCTAACACCCAGTAAGTTTCTTACTTCCTGAGAACAAGTTCAAACCCCATATTCCATTCTGCAGCAGCACTGGTGTCACATGAGTGGCTGGCTCAAGATTTGAGTCTGAATCTGCATTTGATGTTTACCAAGCAAGGGTTTACCTATGCAGGGAAGTGCTAGAGGTTTCTTTGGTTGGAGTTTTTAATAATCCAAATATAGCAGTGCCATCAGCATTTTCATCTTCACCAAATCTTTGGCTCCGTTTATTGGCTCTGCACACATCCACCCAATGAATCCTCAGAGCCGAGCCTTTCTTCATCTCATCTTTCAGCATCACCAGCTGTTGGGTTCCTCTGTTGATTTCTTTTTTTTTTTTCTGCTTTTTTATTTTTCCTTCTGAGCCTTCTTTAAACTCTTGGTCCAACAAGTTCTGTCCTCATGGGGCAACACAGTCCAAGTCTAGCAGACTCCAGCCCATCTTAGTTTGTCCACATGGCCCCCTCAACAAAATGCATATTATTCTACTACATAGCTGCCAGCTTTTCTGATATCCAGCTGATGGTTGTCATTTTCACCAAGTTGGTGTTGCTTTTCTTGATTCCTAACAAGCCACTGTACTGGCACACTGTAGCCAACCTGATGATGTTTTTCCCAGACTTTTTAAAGAAGGGGAAAAAAACTGCAGTAGTGATTGCAGCTGAAGAAAGGAGTGAGAATATGTGACAGATACAGCTCTGCAGTTCCCAAGGTCAGTGCAGAAGGAGGGCAGGAGGTGCTCTACGCTCCAGAGCAGAGATTCCCCTGCAGCCCATGGTGCAGCCCATGGTGAGGCAGGCTGTGCCTCTGCCGCCCATGGAGGTTCATGATGGAGCAGATCCACCTGCAGCCCATGGAGGATCCCACCCTGGAGCAGGGGGATTTCCAAAGGAGGCTGTGACTCTGTGGGAAGCCTGTGCTGGAGCAGGCCCCTGGCAGGACCTGTGGCCCCTTGGAGACCCACGCTGGAACAGGTTTGCTGGCAGGAGCTGCCAAGAGAAGTGGGATACACAAAGCGTGCCAGTACACTGAAACCCAGAGGAACTTTGTATCTCTTTAAACCTACTGTAGATATTCCCAGTCCTCTGGATACTTAAGTTTATTTGGATTTTATCAGTTAAAAAACTTCCAAAAAAGTGTAAGCTAAATCAAAACCATATACTTGCTTTTGAACAAGGGTCACTACATATGGAATAAAAAGGGTATTACCATAACAATCTATATTCTCATCATAACTTACACTCCTGTTGAAATGCAAACAAAGCCAAAGACAGCTCCAAAGGAGAAGGTGCGGCTCTCCTTTGCCTCTTCCTTTCTTCTCTCCCACCTCCTCTCTCCCCTTTGCCTTCCAGGTCCAAATACGATTTGGTTTAATTTGTCTTCCTCTGTGTTTAGGAAGAAAACAATTATTATACATTTCTCTTTTAAATCTAGGGCAGTGGGGTTTGCTCATTAACCTTTTTTTTTCCTTGTTTTTTTTTTATTTTTGCAGCCCTATTCAGCATGCAGCCAAAGATCAGGAAGGAAAGAGGAGATGTGCAGAATGAAGGAAAAGAGGTAGCCTGTGATCTCTTGACAAAAGGGGAACGATCATTCATGGAGTCAAAATGGAGCAGGAGTGTGTCTGTAAAGGCAGAGAGATGGGAGAGATGGAGGGAAAGGAACTGGGCAGGCAAGAGGCAAAGATGAAGTCCTTCAAAAAGGCTAGTGAAAATCAAGCCCTCCTAGATATGATTAATTCTGCACTCCACAAGAGTGAAACTATTCCCCCCTGCCATTTCTGTGACAGGCGCTCCCAGAGGCCCCATCACTGCTAAAGCTCCATTATCTGAGGCACTGCGCTGATACATAAATGACATAGTCCCTGCAATAAGGGCCTTACAGTTTAACATGAGCCAGAATGCAATAAAGGAATGTAATATACAGAATAAAGGACCAGGAGAGGAAGGACAGCCAAAACCTTGCAAGCCTGCATGGCAGCCTGTGTGTGTTACGCAACTTCACAGTTATAATCATGTAGCTAATACAAGAATAATGTTCATACACAGTAGCGACCCACCCTCCATCTCAGGCACTTCTATTTCTTTTTTTTTTCGCCTTGAAGAACCAAGAAAAATCACACACACTTTTAACCTTTTGCCCAAACAGCTGTTGGTGGTAGTAGTTAGGGCAGCAGGCTAACACAGTAATAGCTGAAGCAAAAGGCGTATGAGCTGCTGGAGGTCACAGCCCTTTGACTTGTAACATCTTGTGAGAGCTGGACATGTACAAGCTTCCCTCTGACCCGAAGTGGAATTGCCTATGTCTGTCCCTGCTCAGCCCCTGCACTGGCTCGCATGGTTTCAGTGTGAGTCTTTGTAAGTGAGCTGGATGCAGAAGTTATTTTTCAGCTGGATCAGTTCTCCCAGCTCCCAGTGAAGGCATAGAAATACCCTGGCCAGCCAGTGTAGGAAGGAGCACCAGGGCCAGGCAGAGGGACAGTGGGGCTTACACAAGCTGCTGGAGGCCTTAGGTTCCAAAAGCAAAGTATTTGCCTCAGCTGCGCTTCTGCAAAGCAGGTGGTTTTACTATTAGGTGCTCAAATTTAGACACAGTTTCAGTTTCCTAGGATGGCATGCACTAAGCCAGCAGCTCACCTCCACCAAAGTGAGGAGGCCCTTTTCCCAGCCATGCAATCCCATCATCTTTTTTATCAGTTCTGCTACCTGTGAATAAATGAAGCCCTTCACTCACCACTGCTGTTCACTGACCAAGCAGAAACATGACCCAGAAGAAAACAGCTGCCTGATATTTTCTCTGCTGGGTTAGTGAGTTGAATCAGCTTACAGGCAAGTTCATGAAGCTCCAGAGCTACCCTAAGTGAGACAGCAGGGTCTTTGGCTAGGAAGAGGTCTGGGTTAGAGGAGAAAGAAAAGGAGGAGAAAGAACAAGACTTCCCCCTCATGGCAAGAGCAAGCCATCAGATATGCTTAGGTGCTTATAACTGCAACTTTAGAGGTCAATTTACCTGTGTTATCCCAGGATACACAAACTGCGTGGGAACAGGCAGCTCTGCAATTTGCTGCAATCCCTAAATTCATTCCCATTCCCATTTTATATAATACTAGTGTGGTCCTAGTTCCACGTATCTTATTCATGTAGAAATACTCATTAAAGAAGTTTAAGTAACTGGGGGAAAATCTGAGTTCTCAGCCTGCAGGTTTCTGTGGTTTGGGGAAACTGAAGTATCTTTTGAAGATATGTTGAGGTATATCCCCTAATTCTCATTTGTGTATAGTATAAGCAAACCCATTATAAAAAAGAATGCAACTTTAAAGTACACAAGTGTAAATTTCCCATGGGTAACTAATGCAGTAAGTACCGTGGATTTAAACAAGCCCTTCCAGTGTCCCTCACCCATGCCAGTTTGTGTGGTTTAATTTTCTCTATATCTGCATTAAGACAGGGGAGAAGCTCATCCTTCCTCAGCTCCCTCTCCCTGCACACTGGAAAAAACTTGGAATAAACTGATGTGTGTTCCTTTCTATGTGCCAGCCGTGCATCCTTCCTAGCCTCTCATCCATCTAGTGTGGACTTTGTCCTCACTTAACAGAGTGTATTATGACATTGCCTGAAGCTGCTTACAAAGATAGTAATTACACCTCTATAAGTACATTGTTGGCCTGGTTTTCAAAAGGTCTGAGCAGCTCTACTTCTTTAAGGAGCAAAATGACCTGAGGATACCATCACCTTTGGAAATCAAGCCATTAGGGATAGGAAGGAGAGTTTAAAGGAGGCATGGGGGCTGGTAGGAAAGCATTGCTTCCATTCAAGGAGCACATCAGTAAGAAGCTGCCACCATCAAGAGGACAGAATAAATATCCTAATAGAACTTTATTACAGGCCAGAAAAATCCTGTGAAAGCCTGGATGGCTACATGCTGCATCTCTGAAATCAATGACAAAACACATTATGGTTGAGGCATGTAACATCGTTCTGTCAAAGGAATGGCTCCTAGCATGGCCAATTTATCTGAGACGGTCATTGTTAGTTCTGCCCCCCTGTTAATGCCAAGGCCTTGTGTGCAAGTAAGCTATCTTCTGACAGAAGCGCTGGGCCTAGGCTTTCTCCAAAGGACAGAAATTTATTAAACGGACAAAATCATTTCTTGTGATGCTGCCATCAGGGAAGCCCACTTCCATGCTTCTTACCAAGGAGGAAGGAGAGAAGACCAAAGGAGCTGCTGTATCTGCTGAGTAGTGCCGGGACCCACAGTCAGCCTTAGTAAATAACCAGTCTCCAGCATGGGGTGGGCTCCAGCGTCTTGGCTGTGGCTTCTGACTTTGCCAGCCTTGGAATGCCTTGACTTGGCTGCGATTACTCTTCAGCAGCATAACTACAGGGGAGCACAGTGAGGTCTGCAGTACATCTGCCTGGCACTTTTCCATACACAGCTTTCCACCCAGGAATCCTATTGTCATGAGATATTAGATTCTTTAGGCTCATCAATTCTGGTGACACAATCCAGCAATTTATTTTTAGACAGAGCACGCAGGTGTCCATGGCAGCATTTTAGCTGACAGTGCTGCAGTATTGCTATGCAGGAGCACTTGGTTGTTCTTTGTGTCTTGACTTGTTACTGGAAAAGGTGTTTATTTTTACCACTTAACTTGGTTTTTATCTTTAGGAATGGTCTGAATAAGACAAAGGAAAACACTTGCACCCTTAAACTGAATTTCATCCATCAGACTTTCAGCATGCTGATGGGAAACAGAAGCAAGACTAACGATTCATGTGCAGCATTGATTGTAGATGATGGCTGGAAAAGAGAACAAAAATAATAAATAAAAACTAATGATTGTAACTGATTGAGGAAATATTCTGGTTCAGAAAATCACATAAAAATTAGTTGGGTTTATTTTTTTTTTTCCACAAGTATTAGAAATCTGCATATGAATGATTCAGTCAGAAAACTGGTTTGTAGTATTGAAGATACTGACAATCTACATTCAGCTATAAACTATTTTTTTGCATAACTACCTTAAATAAAATCTTTAAAATTGCTGTGATACAATCCCTCATCAATATCTTTAAACTGCCACTCAAGAACAATAGGACCACAGTATTCATTTTCTAGGAGAAACAATACAGTTAAGTGAGTTTGACCCAAACTCATCTGAATGTAATTACTAGACTGGCAAACTGGCTTCTAATGACAGTCACAAGCATCATGCTGGAATCTACAAATTACTTAGTCTAGCTGAGCTCGCACTCTTCATATTAAAATGTGATAACTACACAATTTCAGTTTGCTGCTGCAAAGTTCAGGGCATATTGCTAGCTTTGGGAAATAAAGGACCAATTTCTCACTGCTAAATATGAACAGAGATGGTGCTGCATTGTGTGTAAAGAGGCTGAAGTGGTCCTTAAAAACACACTGAAAAACCCCATCAAGAAACCCAGGCCATTACCACAGAGGAGCCATTACAAATGTCTAGCCAGACCACAGAGCAAGTATTTGGAGGCAAATCAAAACCTGCCTGAGGAACTGAGTAAAAAAGATTTTCCAAATTCACTAATGCTCATTTCAATTAATAGCCCACCTGCCAAGTGTAGCGAATCTGAACATATTGTGGCCATTAATGCTCAAAAGTAGCTTTTCACAATAAAAAAAGCCAAAAGATGAATTATTGAAAGGAAAATCAGTACCACTGCCACTCTGTCACACTGAGGTAAATGGTTGATTCTTGCAAAGGCTTGAAAAACATCTTTGCCTTTAGGCTAAGTGATTAATTATTACTCACAAAGACACCAGAAAAACATGGAGAGCAGGAAGGAGAAGGGCTGAAGTCATAGTCCAGAGTGAGAGCTGTGGTGGTGCAGGATGTGAATTACATTTCTCAAGGTGAAAATTGTCTGCTCTGAGATCAGGAATTAGTGGAAGAGACACTGCATCCCATTCCCTCCCACCCACCCCAGATGGGAAAGTACAGATTCTCTCTCCCTGGTTTTCTGTCTGGGCAAGGGCCTGCGGGGAGGGTTCAGGTCCTAAGGCTGGAAGGAGTCCAGAAGAATGCTCAATTTGAATGACAAATGCTTCATCAATGTATGACTTCTTTTCACAGCTGCCTGCATTTAGGAAGGGAAGGATTACACGCTAAAGTGGTTGACCTTTCCCACCTCCCTTACCAGGAAGCTGGAGGTTGAATTAAAGATTCAGAGTTCCATGGCATGCTAAATGCCATGTGTGGTGTCAGGCTTGTGGCTAGCAGCCTTACAAGAAGTGCCACCAGAAAGGCTACAGGCAAGGGGGAATGACTACAGGAGCATCAGCTAGTCTGAAAGAATCAGCAGCCCAAGGGAATTGAGCTGAGCCAGTCCTGACGCAGAGCTGTGACATCGAGGAGTCCAATTCCCATACAGTCTTTTACCTTTTACTTCTGTAATAGTTTTTCTTTGAGGCTTCTCTGGATGGCTTTGAGTTGTCAGGCAATCAGAAGCGAAGCCTGGAGGACCTGAAAAAAAATGAAATACGTTTTGAACCTCATGAATGATTTTAATGGCTATGTGTATCTCCCCTCTCTGTTGGTATCTTACAAATAAGAGAAAAGGATTTTAAAAATAACCTTGAAGTTAATTTTTAATACAGGCATAATAATTAATTAGAACTCCAGAAATTAATTTTGAGCTAAATGAATAATTCAGGTGCACCAAGATACAGATGTATTTAAAATGAGAAGAAAACAAAATCCATTACATAGAGGAAAATTACAGACAGAATAAAATTTAAACGTCATAATTTGAAATGCAAAAATGTAATATATGTGTTTTAAACTAAGTCGGATGAAGGATGTCTCCACTTTCTTTTCCCACCTTTTCAAATCTTGCAGAAGGAAACATGCCTCAGGCAAACTCAGAAACTATTTCCTTTTTGATAAGAAGGCTTTTCTGTTTCAAAGGCTATTGGCTCAGTAGTATAGCTAAATCTATTTCAGATTCAGGAAAAGTAAAGCTTTTGATTTAGTACAGTGTTAATGTTAGGAAAGACATCTAATCCTCAGTTTTCTAAGTCTCTTCAAACTGTCCTTTATCACTATGCACATACTACCCTATATCACTATGCAACATTCACTCTTAAAAATGTCTGCTACTTTCTTTACTATTAATATCTTGGTTGGAAGCTGGTTGGTTCACTTGGTTGGTTCACTTCCAGGGGACCTGCTAGAGGGGCATCAGTTATCCCATGTGGCTGGAACAATCCTAGTGTACAAACCCTTTTTCTTAACATCTTCAGACCTTCAGTCACTGCTTTCTTCCACTTCTTACATGCTGTAGACTGCATAGCCCACTCCTGCCTTTGTGACCTTGCAATTATCGCCCAAAATTATTGATAAAAATGTAATTTCTTTAAATATTTTTCTCAATTCCTTGAACTAGTGACTAGATCTGAAGCGCTGATGAAGAAACAATATGCAGTTCCCTCCATATCCTTCAAGCTACATTGCTGACTTGTGTCCTTTTATTTCCTTCACCAGGTCTTTCTTCTTCTCTTCCCCACTGGCTATACTGTGTAACCATGCCATAGAGATATTAATGTAATTACTGGGCAAGACAAATCAATGTGGATTTTGAACTGCCTGGGTGTTACGTTCATGTCCTCTTTTCTGGGGCAGCCCTTGTACAGCTGGTGCAGAGAAGCAGAAACAAGCTCTCTAATAACCTCAACAAATTCTCAGAAGGACTAAAGTGAAGAAGATTGTTTTACCATTATAGTGGTAGTGATACAGCAGTTACAATGTCTGTCTGAAAAATCACGTACTTCAGGAGTTCCTAAGGCAGCTACAGAAAATGTTGCTCCACTTTTCACTGAGGCTGGTATTATAAAATCAGAAGCAAATCCTTAAAAATTTTAAGATAATAATCTGGCTGGGTTTGATTTACAAGAAGCCTTTCTTGGGTTTAAGAGAGCAATTAAGGATTTGCTCTGTATAAGCTCACACATCTCTGATGGGAATTCCTTTGTCTTTGTTTTAGGGCAAAAAGTCCACGTCTCCAGGCCTGGTGTTCTATATTGCCTAGTTTGACAGCATCCATTTACCACGTGCTCAGCTCGAGGAGCACAAATGTGGACAGTGGCAGAAGGTGCTGACCACACCTGTCCTGGGCTTTCACCACTTCCCTCTTGGGCTGGTAAAAATTCCAAGGCTGCCTTCCCAAGAAACTCCCTTAGGGGGGAGCAAAGGCAATGGAGAAAGTTGGTGTTATTTTAACCTCAAGAATTAGTATATTTAACTGAGATGGACTGTGCTGTGCCTAATGTACCTGGTGTAATTCTACATGCACTTAAGCCTAGTTTTAATAAAGTTGGTGTTTTACATGAATAAAAAAAAAGGGGGGGGGGCAGAACCCCCAAGTCTTCAAGCAACTTCCTTACAAAAAGGAGAAGAGCAGAAGGAGGCCATCAAAGATCACAACAGCTTTGGGGATGCAGAAACTGCCCTTTCAGACAAATTCCCATAGGACATTTTAGTGGGGGCCTTCCATGTCAGCTCACTCCTTGGGTGTGGTCATTATGAAAACTACTGTTTTCCCAACGTGAAGATTCCAAATTCCATTTGCCACTTTTGTCTTATTTGCTATTTCAATAAGAGGCTACATTTCTGTAAACCATTACAATTTTATGGTGCTGAGACACCAGAAGGGTTTGGAGTGACTCTCACCAAACCCCCTGAAAAATAGGTCAGTGACTCTACATTTTCAAGAGAACTGCAGTGCTACAGCAGAAACTGAGTTAATCCTGATGTATATGATGAATATACCCCCTAGCCTTACTGCATGGGAGAATGTGGACATAAATACATCTTCATTAATCTTAACTGATTATTTCTAAAGGAAAAGGCCTCATGACATTTTCTTTTTGCATTAAATACCATGGGATAAAATTTGTTGAGTTTGCTTGTTCAAACAGAGGCATCTAAACCCAGATTTAGACTGTAGATTCTTGGGATGGGAAAATAAAATTTCATGGAAACACAAAAATAATAAAAATAATAAGTAATAAAAATTTATGTATGGAATTTTTCTTCCCAAATCTATAATTCTATAATTCTATAATTCTATAAGTCTATAGTTAACTACACTTAGATAATTCTATAATTCTATGAATCTATAGTTAACTATAGTTAGATAATTCTATAATTCTATAAATCTGTAGTTAACTATACTTAGATAAAAGACAGTCCTCACATAGTGATGGTTCAGCTAATGAAATGTATAGATTTAGGTCTATGCAGCTACACAGTCATCGTTAAAACCCTGCAGGAAAGCCCTGGTGTATTCTAACTTACTGAGTTTCCCCAGAGCAGTTCTTTCCTGCTGTATTTCATTTCCGTCTTGGTTTGCTGCTTTTAAATAGCTATTTTTAAAATTCTGAAATCTCTTTACAGCTGGCAGGCAGAAAGCGTGGGCTGCTGGCAGAGATGGGTAGGGAAAAGGAGGGAAAGAGGGAGAGCAAATCTGAAGTACGTCAGAATGAATGTAAACATTACCTTACATAATGTAACATGGAAATTCTTTCAAACAATATTAAAGCACTTCTGGACAGAGCAGACACCAGAGGACAGAGCAGGGACAAACGCACTAAGGTTATATATATTGCATGAAGGCACACTTAGAACAGTTCCCATTGAGTTATAAACCCTTGGACTAATGTGATGAAAAAAAGACAAATTATGTGTCAATGACTACAAATAAAAATAGAATCATCCAAGTAACCACAGGGTGCCTAAGATGGGTATTGATGTAGGGAGATCAGGGATTGTGCAAAGAGTTTAGGTGGCCTCCCAAGTAATGGGAGCTCCTGGTGGGACATGTGGTTTCAGGGGAGTTAACAGAGGGCTCTAAGAAGCAGGAGACAGGAAGAAACGGCAGGAAGAAACACTGCAGTGACAGACCCATTACTCAACACCCAGGCTTTGAAGGCTCCATGTCAGAAAGGCTATGGGAAAAACACCAGCAGCAACCACCACTGTTGCTGGTGCTGTTGGGATGATCAGCAGAGTGGGCAGTGGTGAGGGCAGTGGCAGTCTGACAGCCTCAATAGGCTTTGCCCTGGTGGATTCGGGACTCTTCTGGTAAGGAGCAGCTTCTGTTCAGATCTGCTGAGAGGCAGAGGCATGAGCAAGAGTACCAGAGCTGTTCTCCAGGGCTCTTCTTTTGATGAGAGAGATGGAAATATCTGTAAAATCTAATTAGCTTGTAAATGAGGAGATTTCTTAAGTGATCTGTCACAGGCTATAAATAACACAGTTCAGAAAACAAAGTCCTAACAAAGATTCAGTGCATAGAAGCTGAAGCTGGGTGAGTAGAAGCTAAAAATAAAATGTAGATCTTGACCAGTGAAACAGCTTATGACAGGATGTGGTTAGCGTCTCTCTCACGTTAATGCTTTAAATCAGGATTAGATTCCCTTCTTTAAAAAAATGCTCTCATCCAGTCGTCAGAGAGATGTGCAGTGCTGCATTCCCAGGATAAACCATAAAATCCTAGGGAGTTATGCTGAAGCCTGCAATAATGCACCCCAGACTTAAAATCTGTGACTCTAGAATAACCACCCTTGAGCAATATGTGATTAGAAGGGTTGAAAATGTGTATTAATTAACACTGAAAAGCTAATCAAAGAGGGTTGGTAAATCAGGCAACCATAAAGGACAGACTATAGAAACAAGTTTCAGCACTAGGAAAATAGGTAGGAATGAAAAGTGTTGTCAGAGTAACATTTCTCCTTCAAAATAGCTTTGTAGGATGATTAACTTATTGTAGGCTTTTTGTGGCTAATGCATACTTAAATATTCCTCACTTTTTCATAGGTACATAAATTGCAAAAGGTCTATGTGCAGCTACATAGGATTACAGAATTGCCATTAGGCTGTATATTTTGAGCATGGTCTCACAGTGAAAGC